AAGCACTGGGGATACAGATATAAAGTCTGTAAAACAATCTCCGTTCTCAAGGAGCTCGTATTTTGTCTTCTAGTAACTTTTATAATGAGAAAGTCAAAACTGATGTGATATTGTTCCTTAGCAGTGTGTTCACTGGACACACTGTATTTAAAGTCCCAAGACTTAAAGTTTATGGATGCTATAAAAATTGCACACTTATCTGCTACCCTTTTCTATACCCTGCCAGAAGAGATCTGTACAGGAGTGAGGAGGCATTTTGTATTCATTATTTTATGGTTAGCCACAGCCAAAGAACTCACCATCAAATAGTCCATCTACTTGGATGAGACTGTCTGTACTTAGGGCAGCTGCTTCTTAACAAAGCAAATATAATCCAATAGGCTTAAATTTTTTATTAATGTGGTTTTTTTAACTTTATGATAATTTCTTTATTTACTTTCCACAATCCCAGAACACTCCCTGTAACAAAAAAACAACCAGTTCAGCAACTGTGTGTCTGCCATCTGACCTCCAGAGTCAATATTTGTCATTGCATTTATTATGAGCTCAGTTGCATTTTGTTATTTTAATATACAACATTATAATCATTATGTATAATAGTCCTTGGTTATGCTTACTTTAATCTGTATCAGTTCATACAAGTCTTCCTATGTTTCTCTGCATTTCTCATATTCATAGTTTCTTATAATATAATAATACACAGCTATACCCACACATAATTATTAAACAACTCCTCAATTTATGGGTGCTCCCTTCATTTTCATGCTGTGTTGTTGTTGTTGTTGTTGTTGTTATTGCTATCACATACACACACACACACACACACAATGCTGCCATGAATAATTTTGTATATGCCATAGTGTCCTTTTTAATCTTTACCTTCCTAAAAGCACATACCCAGTTGTAGGATCACTGGATCAGAGGGTATGAATAATAATAGCAACTTCTTTTTCACAAAATTCCAAATTGCAAACCATAATCGTCTGTCCAATTGGCATCTCTACCAATAGTACTTTAATGTGCCTAAATTCCAATAGTAACTCCAGCTTTGACTATTTCATACTTTTGTCTATTGCTGATTCCATACTTAACTGGCATAACCTTTGAGAACTCAAGTTCATTCCCATCCCACAATAAGTATCAGAGAGAACTTTGTGAGACTTTGTATATAATAGGTCAATAAATATTTATTGAATTGAATTACTAAATGATTTCGAGCAAGCATAAAGAATGAAAATGTTTTCTCAGAGTTGTTTGCCAGCCTCTGCAGTTTTATTCCTTTTAGGAAACACTTTTAGGTCAAAGGTGTAAATTTGTTCATTTATGACATGTCAACAAGGCATAGAAGAAAGAGAACTGCACTTGGAGTCTGGAAACACTTGATTTTGAATCCTGGACCTTGCACTTAGTGTACTTGTTCTTAGTGACCATGGGGAAATACCTATAGTTTCATTGAACCTCCCTTGTCTACAAGATTACTGTGAGGCTCAAATCAAATAAAACATTTGCTTAAAGTGCAATATAAGCGTCAGTGGTGATGATGATGATGATGATGATGATGATGATGGAGGCGGCGGTGGTAGTGGTGGTGGTATCTCTTTTCTATGCTTGTAATTTGGAGAAAGAATTGAGGGTAAAAAAGGATCCCTAACCAATCCTCAATCCTATCCAATGGCCAATCAATTAGTCAAAAAAATGAATTACTGATAAAAAATTGCTGTGGGAGATTTCAGTGTTGAAAGCATGGCATACCTCTCCAGCCTTCTGGAGAATAAGGAAAAAACCCATCATGTTGCCAACAATGTCATTTAAAGCAATGAAGGCAAAACAGAAAGGTTCTGGGATACCTAGATATTGGGCTTGGAAAGAAACACTACTGAAGCCTTAGAGACCCCAAATGGATGGTGGGATTGAGAAAAGGATAAAAAAGCAAAGATTCTGCTAGAAGTGGCCAGACCCAAAGAAATAGATCCCTAAGAGCCAACTTAACTTCATTCAGATTTATATAGTTTCAGTTATTCCTAATTAACATTGTTATGGTAGTCAGGGTAAAATTAATGCTAGAAGTATGAGGGATAGGTGAATATTAAACTTATATACAGTCTTTATTCCAGACTATCTTCATCATGACATTTAGAATTTGTTCTCTTCCATTCTGTTTATATTACTTGCCCTTTTCTTGTGCCGTTCTAGCATGTTTCAAACTCTGTAGCATGAAAAGTAGGAATTTTCTTAGCATAAAAGATGAAGGAAAATGGTTCAGTTGGCCTGTACTGTATATTTATTTCATGCTGTTATCTAATTTGTATTTATAGAATTCAAAGAAAATTCTAACTTTGAGTTAGATGAGCATTTTGAATTGCTTGGATTCATGTCCACTATGCTTTCATTTTTAAACCACAAATAAAGATTCAGCATTGGGTACTTTTCTGATGGAGAGGTCTGTGGTCAGACCAAGCATTTCTCTCAACTTGATCAGATCCTGAGGTTTTCAAATCCAATACTCTACAAATATAGAAGATTTATTTGACCATGAGAAATAATTAAGAACTCCAGAGCTAATGCAGCTCTCCAGAGTCTCCTCCTATTGGAAATGATGATAACCAAGTATAACCTTTTCTAATCTTAGCCTATACCACATTTGAGGTTGGGGCAGAATAAACCATATTTTGCAAATGTAAGTTATATTGGTTTAGGTTTTTAAATTAACAGGCCTTCATTTACCATTATTCATATCATATAGCTTTGATTTGTAGTTAAATGCTTTATTTCTTTATTCTCACAACTGTCCAGCATCTAGAAAAGTAGACACACAATCATTCTGTGAAGACAAAGGGGGCATTGAAATAGTCAATCAGACATAGTTGTAAATGTCCATTTTGTATTCATTTCAGCAATGGGTCTCTGGGGATTTTATTTACATTCATAAGTTAGCCCCTGTGAGATAAAAAAGAACCTGTTTTCAGCTTCCAACAGTGTTACTGTGGGAGTGATAAGCAGCATACTACAGAAAAAATTCTGATTTTAAATAACATTGGGTTCAATCTACAAAGGCAATGTAGAATGAAGGCAATGGCCTCAATTGTGGGAAGTGTAAAGTTGCCTAAATTATCCACTTGGCCTTTTAACACTGATCAAATTCATGAAATAATTGCTTAATTCCCTCACTTCACTTTTCCTGGGTAGTCTTAGCAATACTTCTCCCTTCCTTTTGTTTGAACTTAACTTCCTGTTTCACTTTGTAGAGTGTAAGGCATAATATCTGTAAGTCTATCATTTGTTTCTATATATTCTTATTGCTCCATGGGACTTTGAGAGGCCACTTATTTCATACCCATCTCCAGTTGGTGCTCTCCCCACTTCTGAATATAGATATATAGTGATTTATTCCCATTAAGAACCTTTTAAGGATTCCCTGGGGCTAGTAAAAAAAAAAAGCCAATTATGGTTTGATTCAGAGAACAGTGCTATATCTACATGAAAATAACCACCTTCATAGAGGAAAGGTCCACCAGGGATCTTTAAAACTATGGCTATTTTTGTTATTGTCTTTTGGGTTTCCCAAACTGTAATGAATTTTCTCATGGAGAGGGGATGATAGGGTAAGGAAGTGGTCATGCATGTTGGTATTTTTGTTTTGTTTTGTTTAGGTGTAGAGCTGAATGTTTATCAAAGAACAGAACATTGTAATGTCAAAGACCACCATGGGGAAGACCGGAGGTGGCTGTAATCTAGCATCGCACAACCCTTTTGAAAAAGCAACAGTTCACAGGAGGGGTAGCTGTTGTTTTTAGCCAAGACCTAATTAACATCAAGTTATTGAGGGGCAGATGGTTAAACATAAGAATAATATTGACAGATTTTTTTGTAATGACACCTTCCCACCTCTCCTGAATCCCCACTAAAAAGTTGGCTTTCTTTGCTAAAGCAGCCAATTTTACTTTATTTTTGCTCTTACCTCCAGCAGTTGTAGTTGCCTGTAGAGAGCAAAGAGCTTTGAGTAAACTCATTTTCTAAGATAATCAGTGATCCCAGCCATTTCCCTTTAGAATTTACTTTTTCCCCCAGTTTTAATGGAAAAGACTAGCCTCCACAGTCTTCATCTTTTAGACTTCTAAAAGGCTTAGGTATAAACATTTGACCAAACACACTAAAATCCTGGCATTTAGATCTTAACACATACAAGAATTGAAGTACTTATCTGGATGAGTCAGCTACCTAACTTTTTCCTCAGAAACATCCAGAGGTATAACATAAGCAGAAAAAGGTAAGGTTTCTTGAATCAACCAAGTAATTATTTTCATTCTCTACCATGAAAAGTTAGCAGGACACCCTCATTTCCTACCTACCTAACTACTTAATTTGTGTGGGAGGAAGCTTAGAGTTCTGATTGTTGGGCTTTCTGAAAAAAAGGCAGCTGCACATCAAAAAGGATTGAGCATATGAATTCACATTTCCAAAGCCAAGCATTACAAAAGGGGATGGGGAAAGCCCAACCAACTATAGAAGTCTTCCTGTCATTCTTTCTCCTCCTATTGTAAGGACCTGAGAAAAGGGGAAAAGGAGATGGTCTTAGTTAAGGGTCTTCATTGTTCACTTAACCCTTTAGTTAAGGTGTTGCCTACAAACCTACTATAGAGTATATTAAGTTTAAGTAATAATCCAGATAATTTATAAAAATAAGCATTTTCTTCTAACTAGTTATTGAGCTCTTTCTTGCTAAAGCATTTCTTTCTTCTGAGCTATTCAAATAATTGTCCTTCAATTCTCTGTTTGACTTTGTATGTGTAGACAGCATGTTCTGAAGAATCAATGCAAAGACAAGAAAAATATTAAAAGTAGAAGAAAATGGAAGTAGTTTTAAGGGAGGCAGAAAAGAAAGAGTAAGAAAATGCCATGAATAAGGATTCTATAATTTTTATTAGCAAAAAAAAAAAAGTCCCAACTCACTTAACATGCTATTCTGGTAAATTGTTTGACCCAAGTTCATTGCAGGCAAATTCTGTTAAAAATATACATACTGTATATTTACACACAAATCCAGGTAACAAGGCTAAAGTCCAGGTGTAAGTCAATTTCTAAACTACACCTAACAAGTTGTTTTAGTCCTTATAAAGTCAGCTACTAACTAAACATGGATTGTATTTTCACTCAGGCACGTGGAGAGGTAGGAACAGCTTTAAAAGAAGAGACTTGTAGTGCAAATATTAAGGATTTCATTGAAGCAGCTTAGCTCTTACTAATGAAATCCTTACTATCTTTGGTCAACCCGTGAGGCCAAAGTTGTTGCTTTGTCACTTAGGACAACAACAAAAACACTGTTTACATATACTGAGGAGATGTAGCTCTGGGAGCTTATGGGGGACTTGGGGAATTCTGACAATATTTTGAGCCTCCCCTTTAAAACTCAGAATTGTATAAGGCCAGTTAGGAAAGGTAGCAGCAAGGTTGGACTGGCAGCTGGGATCCAGTTTCCCTGATAAGACACATAAATAAGAGGTAAACAAGTTGCTTAAAAGGCATCAAATTAAGACCAGTATGCACACTACTTTGAGCACAGAAAAATTACCATACTGTACTTTCTTTTTAAAAGCGAAACCCTCCTCAGGGCCACCTTCTAGCCCACTCCCAAAGGAGCGTGGTAAGCCTAGAGATGCGCAGGGTTAGCAGGACAGTCCCAGAGATTTTTCTGCAGCCTCAGAAACTTGCTCACGAGGAAAGGTCAAGTTAGTGCTGAGAGGCTTCCGAGTTCACTCATGAGGAAGAGTCTTTGGAGGGAGCAGGGCTCCCTGCATTCTTGCCAGACTTTGCAGGGCTCAGACCTGAGACAGAAAGCTGAAGAGCCGTTACAGGTGATGTGCTGACCAACAATCCCTCTCTTTCCCTTTTCTTCTGTTTCATTCTTCGATTCTGGAACCAGATTTTGACTTGAGTGTCATTCAGCTGCAGGGAGTGGGCTATTTCTATGCGGCGGGCCCGGGTTAAGTACTTATTGAAATGAAACTCCTTTTCCAGTTCAGTAAGTTGCTTGGTGCTGAAATTTGTGCGTATGGTGCTCGAGGGGCTGTGTACCCCATACTCGGAGAGTTTGCCTGGAACGTATACAGTGAATCAGTGAAGGAAAGACTCGGAGAGAGACCAAGAGGCAGAAAGAAAACAGAAATAGAGGTCCAAAGTTAGCTATCAAACTGTGCCGCCCCCCCCCTCCCCGAACCAGAGCCCTGACTCAAAGTGAACAAAAGTGTGGAGGTAAATAGACACTTGTCTATAGGGTGTTTTCTGACTTTAATTTACAGAGAGCACTGGCTATATTCTTAGTTTGAAGTTTAACTACGAGTGTCTACGTTGAATTTAGAGACGTAAGCAATGATATTCTCGTCTTTGGATGGCCTGAATGGAGTGAGACCTTGCTTTCGCGAAGAAGTAGATGTTTTAAGTGAAAGCTATTAGACAACTCATTGACCCGACGGGGAAGGAGGGGTTGTGAGGGGTATCAACTCCCAAGGTTAAGGCTTACTTACTTTTCTTGGGGGCGTTTCTTTTCACTTTCATCCATTCAAAAGTGCTGAGGGCTGTGGGAAGCCCCGAGGCGGGAGAGACGGACTTGGGGTAGGAGCCGGGCGCTGGGGAGACAGCCTGGAAGCCCCCGGCGGAGCCATCGCCTTGCTCTTTGAGACCCTGCGGGAAGGGGCTGGGCTCTCCGAAGGCACCGTAGTCCACTTGGCCGCTGAGAATGAAGGAGCCGCTGCCCGAAAAGACGGCCGAAGTGGCGTAGTGAACTTGGCCGGCCACGGCGTCCTCGGCCGCGGGCCCTAGGCCGCCAGCGAAGTCGTACGCGGAGCCCTGGGGCAGAAAGCTGTAGTCTGCGGCAGGTGCGGTGCCCGCCTCGTAGGCGCCTTCGAGGGTGCACGGAGCAAACGGAGGCGGGCCAGGGGTTCGGGACTGGGCCGGGGGCGGTGGCAGCTGCGGCGGGGGCGGTGTCGGTGTCGGAGGCTGGGGCTGGGGCTGCGCTGGGGCAGGAGGCACGGGCCGAGCCCCAGCCGCGGCGACAGGCAGGCAGCTCACAAAGGCGCCCTCCCCGCCCAGGGGAAAGGCAGGCTGCAGAGCCACTGGCCGGGTATCCGAGCGGCAGAACTTGGGGGAGAAGGTGAGTACCTCTCCACACGAGATGTACTCCAGGTACGAATTCATGACCCAGTCCGACGGCTCGAGGGCTGCAGGTGGGGCCAGAGGGGCGAGAAGGCGACCCCGGAGGCAGCCGGACTGTCCGGGCTCCACTGCCTTGACTTGCCTTTGCCTTGCCTTGCCTGCCTCGCCTCTGCTACACCAGCTCCTCTCGCTGTGCCATTGCAATCGGTTTGGGAGGTAAATATTGTCCTAATATACAGCCAGGGGCAGCCACGTGCTGCCGACCGGCCAATGGCAGTCTTCTCCGCAGAGCACACCGCACGGAGCTTGGTCGCTGCTCGCACGCGCTGCTGCCAGCCCTGGAGGCACAAACTTTGCCAGGAAAGAAAGAAAGCCCTTGGCCAGTGAACGCTCTACGGGATTCTGGAGACCCCCAAGATTACTTGGGAGATCTATACCCTCGTGAGTTCTGAGAATTGCGAGGAGAGGAGAGAAGAGAGCAAACGCCTGCCGCGAGCTACGCCCGGGACAGGTATGAGGGGGGATGGGGAAGACGGAACGGGAGGAGGGGACGGGGGGGGGGCAAAGAAGACAGGACGGGATGCTGGCTGGCTGGCTTGGTGACCAGAGAAAGACCAAGACTCCTGAGTTTTCACTAGACTGTTTTGGATTGAGTGTGTGATGGCTGGGGCTTGTGAGGGATTAAACGAAGCAAGGGACTGGAGTCTAGGAGGCTACTCCCTGACACAACCAGAGGGAAAACAAAGTCACTCCTTTCTCTCCTCTCTTTTTTCTCTCCTAGTGCTTCTTCGCTTACGGTTTTATTGGCACCGGTGTTTTTATTCCTCTCCTCTCCTAAATCTGGACCAGATGTTGGGGGAGGGGGGGTTCCTACTCACGGGATGCTTTTCTGTAGAGCTGTGTACCTGGGCCTGACGTGGCATCCGCACATATTTCTGACAGCTGTTTTCAGCTTTGCGAACAAAATTTTACTTTCACCTCTTTCCATCTTTTGTTGTTCAGGTGATCTACCAAGGGCCAAAAGGGAGTGCCTAGCTTTCACTTAAGTACAAGTGTTAGGTCTGTTTGGAAATTCAGCAGGTTCTCCATTCACCTCTTAGACCATTTGACCACAATTGCACAAATAGTGGGGGAAGCTTCCTTTCTGGCAAAGGAGTCACTTTCCTCTCTCCTCCTCCCTCCTTACATCCGGGCTTCCTCTGTCAGAAGCATTGTGGAAGCATCATAGCCGCATATGTTCTCTCTGAGGCGTTTGGCTTGAGGGCTAAAAGGCATCCCTGCCTGGTTCATATTGAGGAGGCTTGGATATTCTTGGAACTCGCGGCAATTAATGCTCCTCTTCCATCAGATAAGTGCTCCTGCGAGTGAAATCTGAGGACTTACAATGTTAATGGGCTGAAGTCTTTCCCTAGATAATATGGTTTTGTTTACTGAGTGAAGAGAGACGGGAAATAAAAGTGAAATTGGCACCGGAAATAAAGGAGAGTAGGAAGGTTGCAAAAAGAGCTCTTTGCCTTATCAAACTTTCCAACTTCACTGATTTTTTTTTTCTTTTTTATTTCCTTGAGTAACAGAGAGGGGGGGAGATAGAAAATAAATTGGCATCTCCCTTTTAAAAAAACAAAAGTCAAGTTAGGGCTAGGGAGGTTGTTCTCTTGAAACATTGTAAATGAAATACAAAGGCAACTTCTTTTGGCTCATTCAAATGAAAGCTTGATCCATTACAGACTCTGAATTGCGGAAGGGTTTTAAGGATTTTCTTGTTGTTTTACTGATCAGCTTGTCTGAGAAGACCGATTGAGCCCTTTCCTAATCTACCACCCTATGTAGGTCTACTAAACACAGAGGCATTACAAGTCTGTCCTGAAAGCCAATTCCATACAATTGTTGGAATGTTGTGTATAAACAAAGAGGTTCAGGAGCTGTAAATGGCCCAGAGGCCGTAAGGTTGAGCTTGAGCCAACCTGGGAAGGGAAAGTGGAAAAAGAGCAAGGGATTGGGGGGCCTGTGAAGCTAGTGTTCTTGGATTGAAAAATGTATTGATTCTGCATTTCCAAACGGAAAGCCACCCATTGACCTTGAGCTTGGTACTTCCATCTTGTCAGGTATCCAAATACAAAAAGTCAGAAAATAATATTTTAAAGGAGAAAAGGATTCCTCCCTTGCCCCATAAACTCAAGAGCAGGGATAGAGAAACGTTTCTTCAGAATTCAAGTTCAAAAAGTCTCCACTCCCCAACCCCCTGTGAACTCAGAAAGAGCTGCTAATGCAGTGAAGTTCTGTTCCAAGTGTCCCCACATTGACTCCAAGAGTGACTTAGCAGCCAGTTTGTGGGGGATAAATGGGGGGGAGGGAGAACCAACACCCATAATCCTTCATCGAAAGTTCTGAAGTATTGGAGCTTTAGAAAGGTGTCTGCCCGTATCAGCCTCACCACAGTTACAACTCATTTCTAAGGGCTTCTGGGCATAGAATACTAGAAGCTGAGCAAGAAAACTAATAGTTTTTTAAAAAGAGAAGGGTGGCTGCTGATTGCTACTGGAAGTTTAAGGCAGGAAAACCATCCATTGATAACTCATCAAATTGGGGAAAAGTCCAACATATTGAATTAATACCTGCACTTAAATGCTCAGGAAAATTGGACCGAGTTGGGTAATTCTTCAGCTTTCATAGTAACAAAGACCAAAAGTATATGACTAAACATGCCCTAATTCTGGTTATGGATCAGATTCCTACTACCACATATAAGCGTTGCCTTGCTTTTTATGTTTGGAAAGGGGAGGAGGCGTGTCTGGAGGCTTCCCTGAAGTGAAGTTTGGACATTTATCCTTGTTTAGTTTTAAGGTTTGGGGAACAAGAGAGGAGGAAAGATGAAGCATCCAAGAACAATATAAGTATTTTAGTTTCACAATGTGGGGAGGGGGAGTTAGTGAGGATGCCATTTTTTTCAGATGGCTGTTGGAATCAGATGAGAAAAATGATTTCACACACAGAGAGCAACTTTTCCTTTAGTCTTCCTCCTCTCCAATCCTACTACTAACAACAATAACCAGAAGATGATGACAATGATGATAGATTTGGAACCCTTTGATGAATCTGGGGATTGGATGAAACAACCCCTGTCTAGTCTTATTCTCCACAACGGGCTTCCATCACAAAGAAAACAAAATGTTTGCAAGCCAAAGGAGTCAGAGAAGGGCTTCTGGTCTAAATCACTGAGGAATCATTTCTCCTTCCACCCTCCTCTTTCCAAGTTCTACTGTTGATCTACACTGGAAAAATCCCTGCCTGAAATTTTCCAGAGGGTGGGAAAGTTTTTAAATGGGCAGCATATGAAACAAAGATAGATGGGCAGGTCTAATGACAAATAAGTGAGATTCACATAAATCTGAGGAAAATCTAAGATTTTAAATAGCCAGAGGAAGGAACTACAGTAATCTAGTACTTTTTTCAACCAAAGAATTCTCTGGAGCTCAGTTGTCCTGCTGAGTGCCAGTACTGAGGAGACCTTCTCTCAGTTGGAGGTGACAGCATTGGGGCTGGCCTCAAGGTCCTGTTTGATGTAGGAATGCTTTGATAATTCCCACTGCCCTGTTCTCCATAGTTTCTACCACCTTCAAACATTGAGTTTTATGACCCATTCAAAAATAGGACCTTTTTTACGGAAGAGGCCAGAGACAGAGATCTGATTTCCTCAGCCTTTAAGATTATTCATAATAATTCACTTGGAAACTCCTATAAGAAATAGCTTTATTACAGGCTGGTCTCCCTTTTTCTTCAATCACCTGCAAGATCAGATTGTCCTGAGAGAGATTTTCCTAGACCTGAAAGCAAGCACACACTGGGGAAGCCCAGTGGAACTCTTTCCGTTTCTGCTCTTCCCCTAAACCCTTCCCATTCTTCTCCCAAACAAAACAAAACAAAAACAAACAAACAAAAAACCCACCACAATCCTGTATCATTTATGTGTGAAAATTAAAACTATTTTCTTACCACTAGATTTTCAAGTTTCTGCAAAATCTTTGCTGATAGGGTTGGTTAGAGGGAGAAAGCAAGGCTGAAGCTACAATAATAATTTACATTTATATAGGGCTGTATGGTCAATAATGCAGTAATCTCACAGCAATCCCTCAGGGCAGACAATGCACCTATCATTATTCCCATCTACAGATTAGGGAACTGAGCTATTGAGAATTTCTCACATTCAACACAGATAGTAAGTGTGGACTTCAAAAGTGTAGACTTTACACCAAAGCTCTTTCCACTATAGCACCAGAGAGAGGAAAGGTATAGACAGTCTAATCATCTAACCATCATTAAATTTAGGACCTAATGAAATAATTCCTATTGAAAGGAAAATCAATTCATAGTTTAAGTAGTGGGAAGCAGTCTGGTGAGTGCCAAGAACCCTGGAAAATCCAGAAGACTTGGGTTTGAATCTTCTTTCTGTCACTTTCTAGCTGTGTGCTGGTGAGTACTCACTTTTCTGAAGCTTCAGATTCCTTATGCAAAAAATGGGGATAACATTTGCACTGCCTACTTCATAAGACTATTGTGAGGGATGCTCTTTATAAATGTGAGTCTGTATCAGCTGTGAGCCAAAACCACCAAATGTCAGCTCCATCTAGATGCCCAAGATATCAGCTAACCAAGAAAACAGGATCCAAAACAGTAGAACTAGTTGAAGCGTGAGGGGCCAGTGTATCTGGGGTCAAAATGAGGAAGGGAACAGGGAGGAGGAGCCAGAAGAGGAGAGATCCAAACAAACAGTAAAAACATTTGAGAGAGCACTGAAGAAATTTTAAAAGCTACTTGTCAGGCCTGGGGGGTGGGGGGCAAGGTGGAGAAGAAGGAGGGAGAAAAGGCCCAAACCGAGAGTGGTTGAAATGGGAAAGTCAGGTTTAATCAGGTTTCTGTGGCAGAAGGTTGAGGCAGATTGCTCCCGATACTTGTGCAAAACATGTATTTAGCAATTCTGTGAAGTTAATCAAGTACTGCACCATTAAACATTCCCTTACCTCATTGTGATCCCTCTGGAGATA